TATTGTGGACTACTGGACTCTATTGGAATATTTTGCTGAATTCATGCACCTACAATATTTAAATGGGGGGGAACTACCTGCTCACCCCCCCCACCCCCTCAGACAGGAGCTTTCTTTCTCTCAATAAATATATTCTGCTCATGACCTCTATTTGTTCCTAAAATTCATTCTTCGGTTTTAGAGAACACGAACTCGTGCAGGTCAGGTCCAGAGAACGTTTTTCTCTATGTCATTTGGAGGTTCCCTATATTGTTTGGAGGTCACCCATCCGAGACCAGTTATTCTTCCTGTATCATTTTGGAGTTTCCCACTGAGTTCATCGGATGGAGGTATGAGTTTGCTTTTCTTTCATAAATTCTGAATTGGGACTTGCTTAGGTAACAAGTTTATGTTTCAAATGTTAATATGTCTTTGCCCATTGCTCATAATTGTTCATGTTTTGCCTCATACAGTTTTGCCTCACATAGTACTGTTAAAATTGTGTACAATTGCTTCCATTTTGTCTCTTATATTGTTGGTAAATCTAAGTTGAAACGTGGAAATGTTATAAGGTTATATTTCTTTAATGGGACATTTTACGACTGTTGTGTACTTGTATAGGTTGTATTTGAACTAGTTGCTAAATGTGCTGGTATTCCTTGCTCGATTTTACACAATAGCACTAGAGAGAGTAATGCTAATAAAATTCCTGGTGGATTTTATGTAAATTTCTGTAAAATGGGACTTTTAGCCACCTTGGACTCAGAAAATATACTTGCCTGTACATGAAACACAGGACTCCTTTTGCCACTTAAATGACATTAGGTCAGCAACCATTCTTAAAGACTTGGAGGAAAGGTTTCACTGGATAGACTGGTTCTGATCCCCCTCTACATGCTAAAGGAAATGTCAGGCCTGATCTGTTTGTTTCCTTCCTTTGACTTTACTCCTAATTTTCCTACTTCTTTGTACTTTCCTTTTTAGAGGCATGTAAAATTAGGAGAACTATAGACTGTTCCAACTGAGTAAAGCCCTTAGAAAATGAGCGTTTGTTAATGCCAAAGACAGGAAAGTCATTTTAGAAAAAGGACACATACCCCGTCTCTAGGTCAAATGAGACAAAGAAGACTACTATGCCCATCCAGGAGAACACATATAAAAGCCATGTCCTGGCTTAGTGTTCTGGGCAGGTCTCCTTCAGGAGGTTAAACCTGAGACACA